GCCTATCCTGAGTATTTTATATACCGTATTTTGTTGTGTATAATGTCTACCTTTTTGCCCACATTTCTGAGGAAAAACTAAGGATGCTCATTATACATGGGCAGTACCTGAAATACCTCGTGTCTGTTGTGTTTTGTAATTATTGGCTGCATAAAATTTCCTGTACCACAACATGTTCAAAAACAAATGCTAAAATTCCTTTATAATGCAAAAACCAAGTATGTAAATATAGATAAATATTGAATTAAAAAATTAAAATGAAAGATTTTTTTCCTGAAATTTTGGGCCAAAAACATGGTGCGCATTATACATGAGAGCACATAACACACAGCAAAAGATGGTAAGTGGATTTATACAATAGATGGCCTTTTATGACTGATTTCTTTCACTTTGCATAGTGTTTTCAAGGTTTATACACATTGTAGCATAAGTCAGTACTTTGTACCTTTTTATGGCTGAATAATGTTCCATTTATGGGTATATAACATTTTATTTACTCATTTATCTACTGATGGATATTTGGGTCGATTTGAATTTTGGACTAATACAAGTAATGCTGTTATGACCATTCATGTTCAAGGCTTTTGTGTGAACGTATGTTTTTTTTTTAAATATTTTATTTATTTATTTTTAGAGAGGGAAGGGAAGGAGAAAGAGAGAGAGAGAGAGAAACATCAATGTGCGGTTGCTGCGGGCCGTGGCCTGCAACCCAGGTATGTGCCCTGACTGGGAATCGAACCTGCAACACTTTGGTTCGCAGCCCGTGCTCAATCCACTGAGCTACGCCAGCCAGGCCCCCAGCCCTGGATATGTTCCTAGGAGCAGAATTGCTGGGTCACATGATCGCTCTATGTCAGAGATTCTGAGGATCTGCCAGACTGTCTTCCAGAGTGGCCACACCATTTCCCATTTTTACCAGCAGACTCTGAGTGCTCCGGTCTCCCCACGTCCTCATCAGCACGTCTTGCTTTTTTTTTTTCCTTTCTAATAGTCAACCTGAGGGGTGTGAAGTGATACCTCATTGTGATTACATGTCTGCCACTTCTGTTTTTTGTTTTAATTCTAACGTCCAGCTGTCAGCTGAGATACTGCACCTGGAAAAGCAGTAGGGGATCGGTGGTGAAAGCAATCGCACGCTCTTACTTAAGCACTGTCTTCTGTGCTCCCCAGACTGCCGCCGGGCTTGTTGGGAGAGGCTCGTCCTGGTTTCCTTTTGCTGTGTAACACATCACCCACGTGCTAGCCCACAGCTCTGTGGGTTGGAGGTCCAGCGTGGCAGACCTGGGTTCTCTGCTCAGGCTGAAATGAAGGGGTTATCGGGGGTGAGTCCTCATCTGGAGCCTCTGGGGGGAATTCTGTCTCCGAGATCATTTTTGGTGATGGCGGAATTCCGTTTCTTCGGTGTGCATAGAACTGAGGTCCTCGCTGACCGTCAGCAGGGGCCACCCTCAAACCCCAGCGGCTGCCCACCTTCTTTGCTTGCTGCCTGACCCCTCCATCCTCAAGTCGGCAATGTCATAGCAAATCCTCGTTCTTTGACTCTGACGTTACTCTCTCTGATGTCTAGACCCGCCATTGCAGGGCTCGCGTGACTAGGCGAGGCCCACTTGGGGGAGCTCTGTCTCTTAAGGTCGGTTGATTTGGGACCTGCATTGCTTCTGCGGCACCCCTTCTCAGCGGCCCCTAGATTAGTGTGTGCTTGACTAACCGGGAAAAGGTGTACTCGCAGCTGCAGCTGAGAGTCTTGAGGGGCTGTCTTAGAATTGTACTTCCCACCCTGGCTGGTGTAGCTCAGTGGATTGAGCACGGGCTGCGAACCGAAGTGTCACAGGTTCGATTCTCAGTCAGGGTACATGCCTGTGTTGCAGGCCATGACCCCCAGCAACTGCACATTGATGTCTCTCTCTCTCTCTCTTTCTCTCTCCATTCCCTCTCTAAAAATAAATAAATAAAATCTTAAAAAAAAAAGAATTGTACTTCCCACAAGGCATTGGACACAAACACTAAAATGGGACTATTATTGACCACGGCTTCCAAATGTTTTCATGCACCAGCTGTGCAAGAAATTCCAGCTTCATGGCTGACATTGGCCAACAGTGTTTCCAGTATAACAGTATTCTACAAATTTGTTGATAGTGTCTCTGCCGACTCTTGTCATTGATTATTGAGTGAATGGCTCCTGGTGACTTCAGGGGCTCTTAGCAGGTGGACCGGGACCTCGCTGGACCTTGACCAAGTGATAAATTGCACTTTTATGCCCTGTTTGATTCTGGGACTCTTTTGAAAGGAATGCTCTTCTGATGTGGCCAGTAAAATCCTCTTTGATGTGCCAGATATGGACAGTTGAACTTTTAAGGAATTTTAAGCACAGAAAATTGGTCTCTGCCCACATCGACACCAGCACAGTCTTTCCACTCATTCCTCGTGGGGGACATTAGGTGTGGAAAACACACCTTCTTCTTGGCACTGCCGTTTCCCTCCGCAGTGTAATAGTCTAGCTCTCACGATCTGAAGCAGGAACGGTCTGCCCTTTGCCATTAGAAGCAGAATATACTGAAGCGAGTACACGTTAAAGCCGAAATGACTTTGAACGAGAAAGCCGGTGGGAACTGGTTCCCATTGCAGAGGTCAAGTTAGAAGTGAGTAGAAATTTATATTTCTTTCTTTTAATGCTGTTGAAATGCAGCAGGGTTTTGACTGATCTAGCAACAGCCTTTTCCAGAGTGTGTATCGGGACACTAATCTCATAAGATGAATAATAGGTGTTAACTGGAACAGGGTTCAGTGGTCAAATGGGTTTGCCGTTAAATTGTACTAAAATGTCCTAGGGAGAGATAATACAGTATGTTGTGATTTACAAACTTAAGGCTCATTTGGTTTTCCATTTAGGAAATATGGATGACTTTGAGCTTTGAGAAACAGACTTTGGGAAGGATTGTGTTGAATGATTTCTTTGACGTGAGGAAGTAGGCCTGTGTTCTCCACATGTTGGTGGCACCAGTCCAGAAATGGGCACATCTCCATGTTTGGGTCACAAATGCACATACTTAGGCCATAGATGCACATACTTGGGTTGTAAAGATAGATCATTTTTCTGCCACAAATAAATTTCCCGGTGGGATTATTTTCTCATCTCTTCATAGTCTATTAATGCCATTTTTAATCTAGCCTTAGAAATAGCCTCAGTCATTTCAGTAACAATTTTATAGCTAGTGAGTGGGGAAGGGAAGGAAATCAATATTTATTCCTCATCCCCAATGGGACGGGTGCTTTGTGTGCTTTATCTTACTTAAACTTCACAGTAACCCTGCCGAGATGAGTGGTATTGCCTTTGGTCCGTAAGTGAGAACACTGCAACTCAGAGAGGTTAAGCATTTTGCCCAAGGTCACACAGCTTAGAAGAAGCAGGCAGCATTCAGATCTGGCATCACTTAACCCCAACGCCCATCATCTTCCCGATACACCCCCTGCTTTTCTGCCCTCGAGATCTATTTCAATGTATGCTGTACTTGAATTTACTGAAATTTGGGTGTAGATCCAACATTTCACGTTGAGTTGTATCTTCCCACTGATCAGCATTGTGATGTCGGCAATGCTTCATCACGAACCAAGAGCAGTTTTGGATTCTTGAGTCCTCAGTTTCCCCATCCCTTCCCTCCTCTCTGTGAAGTGATCAATGATCTGAAAAACCAACTTATATAATAACGCTAGGGAACACTGACTCTGATTTCATTTGCTTTCCATAGTTCCTTCATAAAGCAAAGTGTATCTTTTCATTTCCATTGCGTACTTACGGAGAACTTCCGAGCCACACAGACTGGGGTGCGAATCCTTTGGCCTTCGGTAAAGAATTTCATTTCTGTGGCCGTTTCCTCAAGTCTGTGTAATGGGGATGATTCATTCTCTCTTGGAGGCCAGTCGAGGACTGAATCGGGCCGTGAAATGGGGCGTGAATTTAAAGCACCTCCAGAGGAGTGCTTACTTTCTTCTCCCTTCATATCGGGGCTTCATATTGGCAATAAAGACAAAATACAGGGAAAAGAACTGCCAGGGACACTGTTTAAAGGCTCTGAAAATAGTGACGAAGAAACGAGCCCCGGCCTTGTTGTGGCTCTTAATAGTTTTTCGGCCAGCTCGTTTGTGGCCAGTCAGCCCCAATTCGGAGTATACTTGAAAATTTGAGCAAACACAAGCAAACATTAATATTAACCAGAGAACAAATATTTGTGAAGCTCCCTTGGCCTTCGTGTTTATCTTCACTCCGAGAAACGCAGTTAGCAGAAGTAACAGCAAACAAACAAAAAAAAAAAAACGCTTCCCGTCAGCCACGGGAAGTTATGTCCCCGCTTGCCACCGGGCCTTTATCTGCTCTCTGTCCTAAATTAGGAAAGATACGTCGGTGTTTAAACACAAGGTATTCTTAGTTAAACATATGTCATTTTAAAATGCTCTTATCTCGCTATCCACAGAGCTGTGGAGCACAGGGTCTGGCCCACGGTCAGGCCATTCGGCTGAATTAATGAGTGTTGACGGAAGCATGCGAAATTCCATTTCCCTCCATAGTTAAGCCCCGACGAGATGTGCGGGTTTGGTTTTGTGTCTGGACATAGTTCAGCGCCTGGGAAATATTTTTCCCTGGGAGCAAGGTGAACGATGAAATAGGCCGACTTCGCTGGAAATCAAAGCTGTGTTAATATTTGTTACCCAGACTCCCCAGCTCTTGACCTTCAGCTGTGGGAGACAGACATGCGTGGCTCAGCAGACAGAGCAGCGAGACGTCTCCCTTCTGCCTGAGATCTTGAGTCGTCTCTAGACCCTCCCCCCCGACACACACCACCCCAGTAGCCGTCTCCTCCAGAGTCCTCAGCCTCTAGTTTCAGTTCCTTCAAGCCTCCTTCTGCACGTTAAATAAGGAGTGCCAAAGCAATCTGGAGACCCGGCCACCTTTCACCCCATTAATTGACCCCGTCCTCGTCACACACACTGCATGAGCCATTACACTCTGCCCCGGCTGCTCCTGATCGCTGGCTGGGGCCGGCCGCACCCTGCACACACTGGAGCGGCAGGTTTTCCCATCTTGCACTGTGTTGCTTTTATGAGTCCTCTGGCATTCATTCTGGATCGCAGAGATTAACCCCATTCACGGTAAGTTCCACGCAGAGCCCCAGTGAAGCCGGTCTGGCCACTGAACAGCCCGGCCTCGAAGGGAGCGCGTTGCATGAAGCCCATGGAGAAGGTGGCAGTGGAACCTCCCTCTCATAACTCACAGTGGCAGATCAGAACAAATTGTTCTGGGTTTTCGGGTTTGGTGTTGGAAGGAGTCCACGGGTTGGGCTGGGCGGGGGGGGGGGGGTGCGGGTGCAGGGTGCCGGTGGTAGAAGATGCAGTTTTCCTTTTTGCTAACAGGGGATTTAAAAATAGTGTCTCAAAAAAAAATGTTGTAAATCAGAGACCACAGGGACACCACACAGAGACACACAAGGAGGACGTTGTTATTTCTGTTCGCTGCCGTGGGTTAGGACAAGGACTGATTTTTTAAAAAAAATGTGGTGACGGGAGCAATAATAGGGTTGGAAGACTAGAGGGCGCTCTCCGAGGCTCCTGCTGACCCCTGGGGTGTGTCTGGCCCGGGGCAGAGAGCGCTCCTCCCTCTGTGCCCGACAGGAGCAAGTGCAGTCACAGGGGCAGGAATCCACACACACACGCCTAGCCCCAGCGCTTTGGACCCGCCCCTGGCCTTTCTCTGTTGAACACGGGCCTAATTCCTTTTATTTTTGAATCATTTTTGTTATTATTTTTAATCGTGGTAAATACGCATACATAAAATGTACCCTCTGAACTATTTTTGAGTGCACACAGTTCAATGGTATTCAAGACGTCCACGTAGTTATGCATGAATGTGGGTGTGCATCCCCACCACCCCACCAGAGAACTCTTTTCATCTTGCAGAACTGAAGCCCCGAACCCACTGAACACCAAGCCCCACCTCCCCGTTCTCCACTCCTGCCAGCCCCTGACAACCTGCAACCTTCAGTCTGCCCTCTGTTCCTACGACTCTGACCACTCTGGGTACCTTGCATCAGGGGGATTGTACAGAGTTTGTCCTTTTGTGACTGGCTCATTTCACCGAGCTGAGTGTCCTCTAGACCCACGCATGCTGCAGCGTGTGCCGGAACACCCTTCCTCGCAGAGGCGGGACGACAGTCCGTTGTCCGTGCATGCAGCGCTTGTTTTCCCGTCTGCCCGTCGACGGGCATGCGCCGCTCCGCCTCTCCGTGGTTACGGCAGTGTGCTGCGAGCAGGGGCAGCCTGGTCCCTTTAGTCAAATTCTAGTCCTCGCCCATCTTCCGTACCTCCCTCGGCGAGCTGCCCCTCAGGATGGTGATCCGGTGGGCCCGGTCCGGGTGTGCCACGCTGGAGATGTAGACACCGAACGGGGCGTTGGGAAGTCCCTCTGTCAGGCTTTAGGCACACACACCAGTGCCTAAGGAAAGACAAGGCTCGTGTTGTGGTGACCCTCTGTCCCGTCTGCCCAGGGCTGTCTCGGTTTACACCTGGCGCCTCGGGGTGATGGTGAATGCCGTGCCCTTTCCCTCCCAGGAGGATTCTGGTTTGGAAGGACTTACGTGGCCCCCGAGTTTATGGAGAAAGTTGTAAACTGGGGTCATCTGAGGTGGCACGCTCCGGAGAGACTCTGGTGGGTGATGCGGGATCCACCAGTGACAGCCAGGTGTGCGGCCTTCGTTCTGCGAGGAGAATTGGGGGGGTGAGGAGCAGGCTTAGGCTGGGCGCCCCCCACCCCTGTGCTGAGCTGACAGCGCCCGGTGTCACTGGTCCATCTGAGACAGTGGTCCTCAACGGTGGGAGCTTTTGCTCCCCAGGGGGCATGTGGCAGTGTCTGGCGACACTGTTGGCTGTCACAGCGTGGTCGCGGGTATTACTAGCATCTAAGAGAGAGGGACCAGGGATGCTGCTATGCATCCTACAAGGCACAGGACAGCCGCCTACGCATGCTGAAGAGTCCCTCAGCCCCAAGTGTCCACAGTGCCGTTGCTGAGAAACCCTGAGTTAAGAGATGCCAGGACGGAAAGGGAGTGAACTTCGGCACGGAGAAGGGAGGACGGCGGATGGACAAAAAGAAACAGCAGTGGATTACACCAGAGGGGTCCCAGGGAGAACTGCAGCCTGGGAGTCAGGAAATGAACTTGGCTTTCCCTCCCTCCATTGAGCCTGATCCCCGCCGCTGCCGACACATCACTAAGTTCCTTTTCCCCATCTGCCGAGGTGTCCCTCCGCTCAGGGGGGCGAACACCACCTCTCGTGTCTGACCTAGCGGCGGAGAGCGACTGCGTAAGGTGTTTGGAGGGGCTGCCCGTGGCCTGTGCCGGCCGGTGTCGCTCCAGCGCTGGCGCACAGGTTCCTCCCTTTTGAGCCTAACGGAGAGGGAGGGGTGGGAGGTTCGAGTGGGGGGACAGCCTGGCCGTGTTTACAGGGCAGCTCCCACATCCCCCAAGTGCATTGTCGCCTAACGCTAACAACCGGCGCGCCGTGCTAACGTCCAAGAGACTTGCTTGTTCCAAATCATCAATTGAAATTCCCAGAGCACCCGAATGACGTGTGGCGTTCGCCAGTCCTGGTTTCTGCGCCGGAAGGCGTTGCGGGGTGGTGACAGCACGCAGACAGGCGCCGGCCCCTGCCATCTTGGGCGCCGTGGGCAGGCCGGTGCATTTCCGTGTGCGTGCGCATCCTGACCCCCGTTGACGTCATCGTCTTGGTTGCAAGCGCTCACCTGTCTGGTCTGAAGTCAATTTACAAATGCTCCGGATGGGCTCTCTATGAATATTCATTCACGATGAGGTCAGATGAAGCAGTGGAATTCGGCAAAGGATCGTTATGAACACAAACCACGGCCTTCTCCCCTCCGGAAGGGATCCCGGAGCCAGGAAGTCACAGGGTCCGATCTCAGGAGCGGAGGAGAAACCAACCAGACGGAGCTGCAGTGAAGTCAGGAGAAGATGAGCAAGATGTTAACTACAGGGGAAAGAACCCGTCCGGTGACGAATGTGCCATTCCTTCAGGGCCTCGCCACTCCTATTTACTCCATCACGGTGATTTCCCTAAGCGCGGTGGGGACTGGTGAAAAATCTTTATGCCAATAAAAATATTCGCGAGACGCTTTTTTCTTTTTTCCTAATTTGGTAAGCCCACCTAGAAGGCTGGCTTACACACTGATGAACTGGAAAATCCTAACGACCACAGAACTCACCTTCCAGCAGGGGAAAGGAACCACGTAAATACCAGGAATTATTTCCATTAGCCCGAGGGTCACACACGAACAGCTTCTGCCGCTGGGGTTTATTGGCCCTGGCGCAGGTCTTGGGGTTCTGGGGAGGGGGAGGGGCGGGCTGCCTCAGTTACCGACAAAATGGATGACTAGCCTGGTGCCAATTAACCTCCCTTTAATTGATAATTAATTTTAAAACCTATTTACTCTCCCCGGAACAGCTGAGACTTTACAGAGGCCACTGTGAAAACAAATGGAGAATAAAGCCATCCCTCAGGAGGCGAAGGGGGCCTCTCGGGGAAGGAGAACGGCCAGGCCTCTCCGACGAGCCACTCGGTTACCGGGCCCGGAATGTTCACGAAGGTGGCAGGTCAGAGTCAGAGGGTGGTCACAGCTGCCTTCCGTGTTCGCATCTCTTTGCATCAGTGCCCCCACGCCCCGGCAGGGTGCCCAGCTGCCCCCGTGTGCCCGGGCTTGAGGGTTTCCCGGGACACGGGGTTTCCAGTGCTAAAAACGGGAGAGCCACCTAGCCTGCAGAGGGCCTGAACCCTCCAGGTTGATTCTTTCCATTCCCTGGGTCCTCTGGTCTCCAGGCGTTTGCCTCAGTCTCCCCTGAACCCCACTCAGCAATGCTCTGCACCGCCTCACCCTGCCTTTTAGCCTCAGGGCTCTGTAGAGCTTGGCCGCATGGCCACACTGATGGAGGTCCAGGTGAGTTATCCAGCCCCTTCCTGGGGTTACCTGTGCAAAAGTAGGCTTATTATTTTTTTCCTCTCACTATAAAAGCGATTGGAACATGCGCACCAACAAAGAACACCAATGAGCCCTGGCTGGCGTAGCTCAGTGGATTGAGTGCGGGCTGCGAACCAAAACATTGCAGGTTTGATTCCCAGTCAGAGTACATGCCTGGATTGCAGGCCACAGCCCCCAGCAACCGCACATTGATGTTTCTCTCTCTTTCTCTTTCTCCCTCCCTTCCCTCTCTAAAAATAAATAAATAAAATCTTTTTAAAAAAGAACACAAACGAACTTAGAAAATGCAGAGACGAGTGAAGGGAAATAGAAAGAGAATATACGTACAGAGACCATAAGTACAAAGGGCAAAGCAGAGACCACTCCGGGTCTCGGCACTTGTGGGAAGCACTGCCGATAGTCTTGTGTGGACCCCTTCATCAATCTTTTTTTTTAAAGATTTTATTTATTTATTTTTTAGAGAGGGAAGGGAGGGAGAAAGAGAGAGAGAGAGAGAAACATCAATGTGCGGTTGTTGGGGGCTGTGGCCTGCAACCCAGGTATGTGCCCTGACTGGGAATCGAACCTTTGGTTCGCAGCCCGCGCTCAATCCACTGAGCTACGCCAGCCAGGGCCCCTTCATTAATCTTTAAAGCAGCGAGGTCACAAAGCTTCCGGCCAGCACTGTATCTCACTCGTTTACTCTTGAGTGGCCTGGGGAGAGCATCACTGGGCTCCATCGTGTCTCTGTCGTGGCTACTCTAGACAGATACTCAGAAGTGACTCAGACTCGGAGAATTTACACTTCGCAGCGTAACCTGACGACGTTCTGTTATTGCTGATGAAAAATGCCAATTTTGGCTTGTTCAGAATTCAGTCCAAAGGGCGTGTAGGGGGGGGTGCTGAGAGAACCGTTAGCGAAGGCGTGAATTTGACGGTGCTCAGGAGTGACGTGAGATGTCTTGGAGGCTCTTCCCGGCGGAAGCCGGGGCCCGCCCGTGGAGCAGCGCGGTTACTCCCGTAGGGTTTCAATTGGCAAGGCTCGAACTCTTCTCCCCTGGGGGATCCTCCGAGTTCCACAGGAGGTTCTGTGATTCAGCGCACAGTGAAAGACCCGTGACTCTGCGTCTGAAACCCCAATTCCCTCGTGAAATGTGGATGTAATAATATTTACCGGTATCTGGCAGGGGAATTGGTAAAATACCCAAGTGCTCCACGAGCTGAATTCTCATTACGTACAGCACCTCCAGTCAGCTTCTACCCAATTAAATAAGACAGTCCTAGGACTGGAAGGAATCTCTGGAGATCTCCCTGCTTCTGACAATGCTGGACTTACATAATACCCACGTGCTTATTCAATACTTTATTCCCTTCCTCACTGCCTCTTTCCTTCCCTTTCTTCCCGTGAGGCAGCTGTCCCTGAAACCCTGGGTTCTAAGCTAGACTATCTAGGTACGAACTCCACTCTCCATGTACTAGCTGTGTGCCCTTGGGCAAATTGCTTAACCTTTCTGTGCTCCATTTTCTCCTCTGTAATGCAGGGAGAATAATAGTGCCTACCCCATAGGGTTAGTGTGAAGTTTCATGACTTAATATACATATGTAGTGCTTAAAACAGGCTCAGCACATAGATGCTCATTATGATTCATTCATTCAACTAAGATCTCTTGAGTTACTGCAGTGAACAGGGGCTGTTAGGTCTAGGACCTGTGTCAAGGGGGCATGGTGACCTCTGCCCTCATAGAGTCTGCAATAGAGTGAAGGAGACGGTCAATCAACAATACAGCAGGTAATGCAATCACCAACAATGCAGCACGACAATAAGCAACTAAGCGAGTGAAATAATTACAGATTGGGGAACATCGTCCGAAGGAACTGAACAGTGTGGTCAGGTGGAGAGCAATTAGGGAGGCGTGCTCTTAGGCTGCAGGGCGGTCCAAGCAAGGCTTTTGGAAGAGGGGACACTGGAGCTGCCACCCAGGGGTCAAGCATGGGAAGGGCTGAAGGGAAAACTTGCCAGGCAGAGGGAATGGCTGGTGCAGAGTCCGGCGATGGGGGAGGACTCCTGTGGCTGCTGCAGGTGCAGCCTGAGGTCGTGAGGTCGCAGCGTGAGGTCGGATGAGGTTGGCGAGCTGAGTGGGACCCCCGGCAGACAGGGCCTTGCAAGGAGGCAGATGATTTGATTTGTTTTTTAAAAGATCATGTTGACTGCTGACGGGAGAACAGACGGAAGAGGGGTGTATTAGCCTGTTCTTTGGGTAAACAACAGAATCCACTCTGTCTAGTTAAGGCAGAAAAGAGGGATTTATTTATCAAAGGATATGAGGTCACTCACAAAGTTATTTGGAGGACTGGAGAGAGCCAGATTTGAAGTGGAGCCTCCAAGAGCAGCCCCCAAAACAATGCCGGCAAAGCACCTGGTGCTTAAACCTGTGCCGCTACTGCCGCTGAGCACCAGACGCCAGGGCGCAGCCTTCCACGCTGTTCCCGCCCAGCACGGTGTTGCGTCTTAACGTGGCAGCAGCCTCTGGGCCACCGCCACTGCCGTTCTGGCCACAGGCCGTGGGGAGTTTCTGTTGCCACCTATACCCACGCAAATGGACCCCTGAGACCCACTGCACGGGGGGCAGCCAGTGTGTGGGTTCCAGGTCACATGGCCGCAAAGGGGCCTGGGAATTTGCGTTCTGGTGTCTGGAACCCTGAGGAGGCAGAACTCCCATGAGGGCAATTCTCTGTTCCAGGAAGCAGGCGAGAATATGTCAGGTTCCAGGAACACGGCAGGAGCCCACGTCCACAGGGCAAGGACATGTGGAGTCAGCCGGGAAGCCCTTACAGCCACGTAGGCAAGAGCCGATGGCTGTGGCTGGGGCGCTGCTCTGGAAGGAGAGACGGAGCAGCGCTTGGACTTGGGAGGCGACTTGGAGGTGGCGTCTGTGGGACTTGCAAATGGCTCAGGTGCAGGGGAAGAGACGGGGAAGGTCCCATGCTGCCTGCTCAGGTGTGGGCTTCTACCCTATAGACATTTGGGGCATATTTTTTAAAGCAAAAGTAAAACTGCATTACCCAGCAACAGGATGGCGTTTTGAAATTAAACAATTCCCAGGAAGCTGAGGCTCTATGCATTTCTTAGTAGCTTATCAATTACCCAGAATATTCTTCTGCTTCTACTCTCCCTGTGTTTGTGTGTCTGCATGATTCCTGGGTACGTTGTGGACGAATAACTGAGGGGAACTGATAACCCGAGCCATCACTTCAGTCCCAGATCTTGCCTCCCCCCCCGTCGTTTTTCTCCAAACAGGTGTCCAGGTGGTACAATGAACTATTTTCAGTTTCTTCCTCTCTGACAGAAGGGCTGGCAGGCTGTGAATGGCTGAGAGGCAGCCGAAGGAGCTGGCAAGAGAGGCCGCCGCCGTCATGGCCAGGTGCCTGCGGGAGGCAAGTGTCCAGGGCTGCACCCAGCCTGTGGTAAGTCCTTTGTGTGTCCCCTCTCGTGGGGACAGCGGGCTCAGGGGGGGAGATGCGGAGCCCTCAGCTCAAGGGCTTCTGTGTGTGCCTTTGGCTCGTGTAGGAACACAGTCCGAAAACGAGCTGGATTCTGCAGACTGTGGGCAAAGTCTGCTCAGCGGCACTGGAGGTTCGAGTCAAGTCAAGCATGAGGAAAGAACTTAGATGCCGAGAAAGGGCCAGAAACCCCTAGACTGTGCTTTGTGCCTCGATGGCTTCTGAGGGTGTCTGCGTCCTTTAGATAGACCGAAGGAGTGCTGCTGGGGCTCCATGGTTGTTCTAGAAACACCTTTCCTACCCTTCATGCATACCGTGGAGACTGGTGCCCCTCCCTGCCCTCCCGCATTGCCATTTGGGTTGCCCTGGCTTTGCTGTGGCTTCCCTCCGTTCCTACACGTACATTGGGGCCTTATCATGCGTCACCTGGGTTGGGCTCAGCTGCATTTCCAAGAATTCCCTCTCCCGTGTGTTTCTGATGAGGGCACAAGGGATCCCTGGGGGAGATTTGGGGCGTGGAAGTGAAGCAGCTTATCTGTGCGCTCACCTCGCTGGCTTGGGGCAGAGGCCGGGTCTGCACCTGCCCGTCTTCTCCTGGCCCCTCCCTCAGCCGCACCAGCTGCTCGGCCAGGTGTGCGCACTCAGCCCCGCTTCCTCGGGACACTGAGACGCGAGGCATCCAGAATGGTCATGGGTTTCAGTCCATCCTGTTGGTGTTCCAGCTTGTTCTTCCCCTCCACCCCTTTGCATCGGTTGTATAACAAAGAATTTGGCCTTCATCTCTGGTTTCCGAGAATGAGACTCTAACTCCTTAGAATTTCCCAGGGCATAGGAGTGTCTTTGTTAGCTCATGAGCCTCTTGGATCCTACCTGAGTTGACACTAAGAGATGAGATGACGTGAGATGGGGTCGTAGGACCAGGACGGGGCTGGTCCACCAGAGAGACCAGCTGCGGCGTGAGTGCTGGAACATTGAGCCGGCCTGACCTCTTGGGAGGCGATGGGGGCTGGGGGCTGAGTCCAACCACATGGCCAGTGACCCTCACTCACACTGTGTAATGAAATCCCAGGACCCGCTGTATACACCGAAGCCCAGTCAGGCTTCTCGGCTGGTCCCTATGTTGATGAGCCTGGAGGGTGACATGCCCTGATGCCACAGAGGGCACAGACACTTTGTGTTGGGGACCATCCCATGTGTCTCTTCCTCTGTCCGGTAGTGATCTGTGTTTTTTTATAACAACACTGTAATTATAAGTATGGTGCTTTCCTGGGTTCTGTGAGTTGCTCTAGAGAATTCTCTAGCCTCAGTGGGTCATGGGAACTCTCTTGGTTTTGTAGCCAGCTGGTCAGTTGTGCAGGTGGCCTGGGGACGCTCCTTGCGGTTCGTGTCTGAGGTGGAGGCAGGTCTGACAGTGGTCACAGCCTTTCGGATCCACCCCTAGCGGATACACAGGCCACACCCACGAGCCCCTCCCTGCCTTCGCTACCAGGGCCGACCCTCTGATCCACCTGACGTTTTCGGGTCACCTGAGTGTCAGAGAGAAAATGATGCTCTTCAGTTCTAGAAACAGCAAACTGGTGAAGAGTGTGATGGGCTGCAAAGGAAGGACCAACTCCCCGCAAAGTTAGCGGGCCTAGAGAAATCAGGACTTATCCGGCTTCGGAAGCACGGGGGAGATTCCTCCGGGCTAGAGATCGAGTGCGGCCTCAGCAGGGTTCTTCCCGAGAGTTCGTTCCTCTGATGCTCGCTGTCTAAGCCATACAACTCTGGGGCTGTGTGATTTCCCCTTTCCTCTTTGTTTGGTTTGCTGCTGCATTCGGGGATCTTTCTCCTCGAGGCCACGACAGCCACGACAATAGCTGCCACCTGTCAGGGGCCCAGTCTGGGCCAGGTGCTTGCCACTCATCCTCTCCAAAGCTTTGCAGTCCGAAGGCTGGTGTCATTAGCTCCATCTTGCAGACAGGAAAACTGAGACTTATAAAGCTTCATGCTTCAGGCACAGAGCCATACGAATTAGTCTATGTAGCACCGAGGCAAGCATCCCTGCCCCGTACACAGGTTGCATTCACCTGCTGCCCCAACCATCCCCACCTCCTTATCTGGTCCCTTTTCTCAAGGGACTGGGGCGGGGGGGCGGGGGGGCTGAAGGGAGAAAGTGTCTCCAGCTTGCACCTGCTTTGGGTAGATCTCTGGGTATTTTTGGCAGCCTGGGAAGACTCTGAGTAAAACGGGCTCAGGATCTGAACTTGCCTTGTCAGCCCTGTCTCCCGAGTCCCCCACGAAAGGTTTACGGTCGGCTCCGAGCAGCTCTGCTGAGGCAGCCGGTGATGTTTATAACCGCGATCCAGCACCGGAGAGCCCCGGTGCTGATTTCTTGCCCGTCTCTGTCCTGTAACAGAAGATTTTTCAATTCAGTGGGTTTGCCTCGTGCACAACAGCAGTTTTAAAATAGCTCCAGCCCAGCTCTGAGGACCGCGCGAGGCCTCGCACAGGGATTTGTACTTGAAGACGCGAAAATGCATTTATTTTACCTTCCTCTTTCTCCCTCTTTGAGGAATCCTAATATATCGCACAGGAGTATTTCTCGCACGACAGGGAGAAGGCTCGCTCTGCACCGAAGACAAAGAGCTGCGTGTCGTTTGTTGATACGGAAAAGCTCCGTTTGGACTCACTCGTGGTCTTCTCGGGGTCAGGTCATTAGGGAGGTCTGCGGTGCTCGACCCCGGGGGCGCCTCGGGGAGCCTGCTGCCGAGGGCCGACGTCCCTGTAGTTTAACGCTGGACGTGGGTTCGGCAGAGGGAAGGTCCCTCCCTGGAGAGGCGTCACCTCTTGTCTCTGTGGAGGAGGAAAGGTAAGGCGTGCCTTGGAGTGACCTGCGCCCTCCAGGGGGCACGAGGTCACAGCCCGAACCTGTGGATATCGACGAATGACGCTGACCATAGTCATTCTGTGCCTCTTCAGACGTATCTGTAGGATGAAGTCCTAGAAGTTGTTGACCTCAAAAAATAAAACAGCCAGTTCGTTTACCAGCAAAATGGGTTTATTCGGGAATATCGAAGAATTACAATTCTGGGCAAGCCTGCTATATAGCAAAAGACTATAGACAAGTCCAGCAAATAAATCAGAGGCATATGACTCTATAGAGAAAAAGGAGGAAGTTGGGAGGGGGTGCTTTGAATAAAACTTCGTGGGAGTGAAGTCAGAGTTCAGGGTGGTGAGATCTCATCGGCTGGGCTTGTTGCTGGGCAAGAAGAAAATCTTCCTCCTGCGGGAGCAGTAGAGGCACCTCCCATTGGGAATGCAAGCTATGAGTCTTCCTGTTGGGGTTTGTAATTGACGTTGAGTGGTAGTGTGTGAGAGCGCCCCCTTCAGGTCTCCTGACTCCATTAAAAATAACTTCTCTATTCCTTCTTACTGAATGGAACTGCTGAACGGAAGGGTATGTATTAATTTCCTATGGCTGCTTTGCCACAAACTACTGGTTAAAGACAATTCAAATTTATTCTCTCGTAGTTTTGGAGATCAGAAGTACAAAATCCATTTCATTAGGTTAAAAATTAAGGTGTTGGAAGGTCAGGTGCCTCTGTAGGCTCTGGAAGGGTTTATTTTCTTGCCTTTTCAGCTTGTGGTCACTTGCATTCCTTGGCTTGTGGCCTCTTCCCCCATTTTCAGAGGACACGACTCTAATTTCTGCTTGTCAACAGGGACTTCTCTCTGACCTTCTGTCACCCTCTTGTAAGGACCCCTGTGATTCCATCAGACACATCTGGATAGCCTAGCCTAATTTCCCCATCTCAAGATCCTTAATTAAACCCATCTGCAAAGTCCTTTTTGCCACGTCAGGTAACATAGTCACACATTCCGGGGGTAGGATGTGGACCCAGCAGTCAGCCCACCCCAGAGCATAGATACGTGCTTTTATACTCTCGATAAAGTGTAAATTGCCTTTCATCTAATTTGGAACAATTTACCTCTCCTCATCAATATAGAGGCAAACCCATTTCCCACGCCTTATCAATACTGCTTTATCAAATTGATCTTTGCAGATCTGATGATAAAAAAATCTTGCTCTGTGTAGTTTTAATCAGCATGTTCTTGTGAATGAGACAAAGAACATGTTTGTATGTTGAAGAGCCATTTGTATTGGGTTGGCCAAAAAGTCCATTTAGTTTTTTCCATAAAATGAAAGACACATTTTTTTTATTTTCACCAATAATTTTATTGATTTGGATATTTTAAGTATGTTGGCTATCTCCCGATACTGGCTTCTAGTGGGTAGAGGCCAGGGGTTCTGCTAAACATCTTCCAATGCATATGACAGCCCCACAGCAAAGAATTACTTGGCCAAAATGTCAATAGTAACAAGAAACTTCACAAACCGTTTTTGACACATTCAATCAGTCACAACACCTTCTCCATACACTGCACAAATCTGTTTTTTGCATTTCTGCTGCATTTTTACCTTCCTTGAAATAATAAAGCACAATACACCAAAAGCGTGGTGTATTTTCTTCCATCTTCAATATCAAAATGGCTGCACAAAAATTCACCAATTCTGATGTTTTTTTTTTAAATGCATTGCTGATGTGACAGCTGCCACAATACAACCTAACAAAATTGTTTCAAATGAAGTTAAAGGCAACTCAGTACTACTATAGCCATCCTTTGGAAAAAACTAAACAAACTTTCTGGCCAGCCCAATATTTCATTTTTGGTGCACTGTCTTGTCACAGCCTTTGCCTGCTTTCCTTTGGGTTACTGGCCTTTTTGGCCCTTTGAGTCGAATTGCAAATCATGTTGTTATTATTAACCCCTTCCTACCGATGAGAAGACTGGCACCCAGAGTCCTTCAAAAACTTGTCCGAGGCTGCAGGGTGCTGAGAGGCAGGGTGGGGACTGGAAGCATCCTTGATGTTGAACTTGACTCATTCATTACCGAGATATCAGCAGGCAGCCAAGTGAAG